TGCATATTACCAGGACATTCCGATTCCATTATTTTTTCCGGGAATTTCCGCACTTTTAACTTAGGCATTTGGCCATACCTTGAATATAGAGATGAACAGTTTGTCAGCGCAACTCCTCATAAACCGCTGCACAGAATTTCGTCAACCTTTGCAGGTATTTAGGACACCATGTGTAGATGTGCATATTACCAGGACATACCGATTCCATTATTTTTTCCGGGAATTTCCGCACTTTTAACTTAGCATTTGGCCATACCTTGAATATAGAGATGAACAGTTTGTCAGCGCAACTCCTCATAAACCGCTGCACAGAATTTCGTCAAACTTTGCAGGTATTTAGGACACCATGTGTAGATGTGCATATTACCAGGACATTCCGATTCCATTATTTTTTCCGGGAATTTCCGCACTTTTAACTTAGGCATTTGGCCATACCTTGAATATAGAGATGAACAGTTTGTCAGCGCAACTCCTCATAAACCGCTGCACAGAATTTCGTCAACCTTTGCAGGTATTTAGGACACAATGTGTAGATGTGCATATTACCAGGAAATTCCGATTCCATTATTTTTTCCGGGAATTTCCGCACTTTAAACTTAGGCATTTGGCCATACCTTGAATATAGAGATGAACAGTTTGTCAGCGCAACTCCTCATAAACCGCTGCACAGAATTTCGTCAAACTTTGCAGGTATTTAGGACACCATGTGTAGATGTGCATATTACCAGGACATTCCGATTCCATTATTTTTTCCGGGAATTTCCGCACTTTTAACTTAGGCATTTGGCCATACCTTGAATATAGAGATGAACAGTTTGTCAGCTCATAAACCGCTGCACAGAATTTCGTCAACCTTTGCAGGTATTTAGGACACCATGTGTAGATGTGCATATTACCAGGAAATTCCGATTCCATTATTTTTTCCGGGAATTTCCGCACTTTAAACTTAGGCATTTGGCCATACCTTGAATATAGAGATGAACAGTTTGTCAGCGCAACTCCTCATAAACCGCTGCACAGAATTTCGTCAAACTTTGCAGGTATTTAGGACACCATGTGTAGATGTGCATATTACCAGGACATTCCGATTCCATTATTTTTTCCGGGAATTTCCGCACTTTAAACTTAGGCATTTGGCCATACCTTGAATATAGAGATGAACAGTTTGTCAGCGCAACTCCTCATAAACCGCTGCACAGAATTTCGTCAACTTTTGCAGGTATTTAGGACACCATGTGTAGATGTGCATATTACCAGGACATTCCGATTCCATTATTTTTTCCGGGAATTTCCGCACTTTTAACTTAGGCATTTGGCCATACCTTGAATATAGAGATGAACAGTTTGTCAGCGCAACTCCTCATAAACCGCTGCACAGAATTTCGTCAAACAATGCACGTATTTAGGACACAATTTAAAGATTTGCATATTACCAGGAAATTCCAATTCCTTTATTTTTTCTCTCGGAATTTCCGCTATTTTCAACTTAGATTTTTTTGCCATATCCGGAATATAGAAATGAACAGTTTGTTAGCACCACTCCTCTTAAACTGTTGTACATAGTTCCGTTAACCTATGCTGATATTTAGGACATATTCCATTATATTATCCCAAAGAGTTTTGCCTATTATTAAACAAAATTTCTCACACCCCCCCCCCCCTACTTCAAATTAATGTGTGGATTTGTATATTGTCAAGAAATTTTGATTCCATAATTTATCTAGAAACTTCATTCCACATTTAAATGTCCTCATATGCAAGACATTTTGATGTGAAGATTTTTTGCAATTATTGCCCTTTGTGATCTAAACTATGTATTTAAAGTGCACTGTGCCTTTCATTAAATGTGTTTTACCGTCAAGTTATGGGGGAGCGTGGGGTATGTGAGCTAGCTCACTTTTTCTTTCATTTTTGTCAGCGCAACTCCTCATAAACCGCTTCACAGAATTTCCTCAAACTTTGCAGGTATTTAGGACACAATGTGTAGATATGCATATTACCAGGAAATTCCGATTCCATTATTTTTTCCGGGAATTTCCGCACTTTTAACTTAGGCATTTGGCCATACCTTGAATATAGAGATGAACAGTTTGTCAGCGCAACTCCTCATAAACTGCTGCACAGAATTTCGTCAAACTTTGCAGGTATTTAGGACACAATGTGTAGATATGCATATTACCAGGAAATTCTGATTCCATTATTTTTCCCGGGAATTTCCGCACTTTTAACTTAGGCATTTGGCCATACCTTGAATATAGAGATGAACAGTTTGTCAGCGCAACTCCTCATAAACCGCTGCACAGAATTTCGTCAAACTTTGCAGGCATTTAGAAAACAATGTGTTTATATGCATATTACCAGGAAATTCCGATTCCTTTATTTTTCTGGGAATTTCCTTACTTTCCAACTTAGACTTTTTGGCCATATTTTAAATATAGAGATGAACAGTTTGTCAGCACCACTCCTCTTAAACTGTTTTACATAGTTTTGTCAACCTATGCTGATATTTAGAACAAATTCCATTATTTTATCCCAAAGAGTTTTGATAATTATTCAAGAAAATTTCTCCCCCCACTTCAAATTAATGTGTGGATTTGTATGTTGTCAAGAAATTTTGATTCCATTATTTATCTAGAAACTTCATTCCACAATTAAATGTCCTCATATGCAAGACATTTTGATGAGAAGATTTTTTGCAATTATTGCCCTTTTTGATCTATACTATGTATTTAAAGTGCACTGTGCCTTTCATTATGTGTTTCACGGTCAAGTTATGGGGGAGCGTGGGGTATGTGAGCTAGCTCACTTTTTCTTTCATTCTTTTGGTATAGGAAACAATCTGCTCATGTACAAATATTCGGTTTCACTGACATAGTCTTACAATATACTCTCGTTTTCTTTATTTATTTTTTGATTCCCGAATCAACTTGGTGAATTTGTCTTCTTGGTCGTAGGTGTATGATGCATCATGGTAGGACTAGGCATGATGTAACCTACTGAAGAACTGACACAGACCATCCAATATTCTCGATTAGGATCGTGTAAAGCTAACATGACCACACTCGTGATGATGAGGGAAATACAAATGTATAATTGTGCAAAATACTCAATTTCTTCTCGAGGAATATTTTCTCCACAAAATTTCCAATGAGGTGTTACTGGATGAGATCCGTTTGAGGAATCCATGAATCGAAACTAAGGGGATATCCTTTCCACCGGATTTTAACTTCTTGAATGATTTTCTTCCCTATGCGTCGCTTTTTATACCCCAAGATTTCCTCCACTTCGTGAACATCGTCTTTTTTAATGATCTGTTGTAATTCTTTCTCGTAAAAAGTGCCTTCTAATTCCTCACCGTTGTAATCTTGTACCCGATACACGTAAGGGTAACGACCGGGGACTCTTTGAGAAATGGTAAAGAGTTCTGTAGTCCAGTTGGGTAAATATCCTTTTTCAAAAGTGCGTTTGGCTTTACTGATGCGCACCTGATCTCCCGTTTTAAATTTGGGTTTTCTAAGGGATTTTTGAGATTGCCCATATAAAGTTTTCCAGACTTTTAACACATTGGAAGGCTTCACCTGAGTTGGAGCTCTTTGGATACTGCGATGGAAAGTATGATTGTAAGCATACACTAAGTCCGGTAAGACCTCTAATTACCGCCTGGTTTTATGACGGGTGAAATAGCGCCACATGCGTGCTTTGAGAGTTCTCTGAAATCGTTCCACGATACTGGTTTTGGTGTCCGTATTGCGAGTGGTAAAGAAATGAATGGATTTAAAAGCCTGTAAGAATTCTTGATTGGTATATTCTTTGCCTTGATCCGATTGAATGCGGACGGGGCGTCGACCGTCTTGTTGAAAAATCTCTTGTAATCCTCGAATCATTTCTTTTCCCGTTTTCTGTTTTAAAGGCACCACCCAAGCATATTTAGATAAGACGTCAATGGCACACAATAAAAACGTATAGTCGTCATTGTGTTTCTTTAAACTGGACACATCGGCTAAATCTAATTGCCATTGTTCGTCTATATCTGTCACTCTGGTCTGCTGTCTCCGAAATTTTCTGTGAATGGGTTTATGTAAGGTATAGGTATCCTGCTCCTTTAACCATTCTCGTATCTTTTTCAAGGAAATCTTATGTCCCAGACTTCTGACCTGACGATACAAAGCTTGTATCCCCCCGTACCCTCTCTTGGGATTGTAATAAATCTCTTTTAAAATGTCTTCTACTTTCTTCTTCTTCATTTTTTAGGCAATGAAAGCCAATCTTCGTTGATTTGTTGTAATTTCTTCTTTTCTTCTTGGTTTTTTAACTGCTTTTTAATTGCTCTAAAGGGACTGAGTCTGGGTGTGAATGTTTTAAGCACTCTTGATCTCTTTTCTGCAGGTCGACTAATAGGGGTTAAAAAGGAAGAAGAAGCATCCTGAAATCCGCTCTCTTCTTCATCTTCATCACTTAAGATCCCTTTAGGAGTACTGATTTTCCCTGGTTTCTGCATTGAAAAATGTGTGTCACTGAACAATAGTTATCATGTTTGAATAACAACTGAATCTTTTGTTCTGTCGAACTGATGCTGAGGAAAGCACATTATTGTATGACGTTAGAAGTTTGTTCTTAATTTGTGTCACTGAAAACAATGGTCGTCAAATACAACATATATTTTGTGCACCCTATAGATCTTGTGAAAACATTATTTACAAGAAAGGTCTATTTTGTTTTTGATCTTTGTGGTTATTATGAGTAAAAAAAAAAAAAAAAAGTGTGCACATTTCATGACCTCTTTTGAAGATTATAGAATTATTATTGCATTCATTTATGTGCTGCGTAAAAATTCGTTCATTTTTTTTCTTCTGAAACATTTTCCATTCACACATAAAAAATAAAAGTTTCATGACGTCCAAAAGTGTCAATTAAAAAAACTGAAACTGTCCGGAAATAGAGAGACTAAACTTGGATTCGTGCTTTACAATACCTAATTTCAAATCGAGGCAGAGCTCGTTTTTAAAAGGCGCGGTTGACTGTTGAGTACGCGGCAGCAATGAGGATTATTCTAATCCTAACGTATTCTATGATCTTGGCCTATACACCCCAGACTGTATGCATACCATGTACGCCATGTAAGGAATTCACTAACATGCATTTCGCCAACTGCCTCGCGGCGGCCCCCTCAATGTGCGTGTTTGTCAGGGGGCAGGCCAAAACCTTTCTAGTTGCAAATTGTGAAGTCAAGGTTTTCCACCCACATGTCGATAAGCCAATATTAAAAACACCATTCATAGCCAACTGTGGTAAGTTTTTATTTTCATAGCAATTCTTAAGAATTATAATTATTTTGTTTTTTGTTCATAACCTCATCCCCCCTGATGACTGATTTAACTTAGTTTTCGAAGCATTAATTTATGGTATGTCACAAAAAACACACTTTAACCTTTTCGGATTATTGAAGGAATTTGGTAAACTCCTGTGCCTAACTAAAAAAACATTTTCAAATATTTCCAAAATAGAAATATGTAACAAGCTATTCATTATGTTGTAGACAAGACTACGGTTACCATACCAACCAAGACCACAGATGCAGCGGAAACTTCAACATCAACTACCAAGAAGTTTCTCATTACTGGTGATTACTTTAAATGAAATGCAATTAAAAAAAAACATTTTAAACCTTTTCTGATTATTTAGAAAATTTTGTAAGCACCTGTGCTTAGACTTAAAATAAGATATTTTCTAATTTTTTCCGAAACAGAAATGTGTAACAAGCTATTCATTATGTTGTAGACAAGACTACGGTTACCGTACCAACCAAGACCACAGATGCAACGGAAACTTCAACATCAACTACCCAGAAGTTTCCCATTAATGGTGATTACTTTTAAATAAAATGCTATGTTCATATAAATATTTACGAGGGTTGTCCGTAAAGTTCGTGGACAGTCTAAAAATTAAATAAATGTTGCGTCATTGATATTTATTATAAGCATATTTCTAATTCTTTACTAAATGTGAACTGAGAAATGTAAAATCGGATTCAATTTCAAATGTTTAGTTACAATTATGTCTTCATAATCAGACTTGGTATTGAGACCCGGAGCACCGCAAAATTTCGATAAAAAAAAATTACTAATCACGTTATAAATTTCATTTCCATTTTATAAAATTCTGCAGAAATCTGGATGACTTTTACATTATGAAGTTGACAGAAGTTATCACTTCAAACCTGCAAAATTTGAAAATTCAAAGTTGTAAAATGGCTGAACAATCAAAGTTAAAACATTTTAAGACGGATCGGAAATTGTTAAAAAAGGGACGTTTTCGGAAAAGGTGGAGCAGTAAGCAGTGATAAAATTCTGCGTAGACATCGGATAAAACAACTACAAAGACCAATGCATTTTATAAACAATCGGGAAAACATAGTAAAAGAAGCCATACATTATTATACAAGTGGCATATAATATTTCGGACGGAAAGAACAGTTTACAGGATGATATGCGTGAAGAAAAACCATCATTTCGAGATTGCAGCGCTGTAAAAAATGATTTTCGTAACATGACTTTACTGTATTTCTGTAAATAAAATAGTTTTTACGAGGACAGAGATCGAACGCTTGCAGGATATGAGACAGGGAAAAGTTACATGAACTCGTATTATGCTTTTGACGTCGTGTGACGTCACGAATTTTCATTTTAGTGCTCCGGGTATGAGTGTGTGTCTTTTTTAATCTGATAAAAATATAACTATTTGTGCTCTGTTTTTGTTGAAAACTTGCATGTTAATAAAATGAAACATGAATTTAATGAAAATAATAGTTTCATATATTTTATTAATGTTTGCCAGTTATTATCAATGTTGTCCACGAACTTTCCGGACAACCCTCGTACATTATGTATAATTTACATTTATTTGGTTTGAAATAGTATATATCATACATTTAAGAAAACATAAATTTACAAGTGTTAGTCATTTGTATAAGAAGATTAAATCTTACATCTTATTTAAACATGAATTACTCAATTTATTAAGTTGTATATTTCTGATATAAAATTTCAGATGCAGTTTTGTCTACGAAAGTTCCCGGGGGATTGAGTAAATTATTATCAACCAAAGATGGTAATTTTAAAATTATTTTACACAGGGTTCAAATAAATGAGTGCTCATTGGTCAGGGGGAATAAATTTCTGAAAATTAAGAGTAATGTTTTTTTTTTTTAATTGAATATGTTGTGTAGATGAAAATCTAAATAAATAAAAAAATAATCTTGGAAAGAATGATTTAATTACTATTTTGTATGTACTTAATGCCAAAATCAAAAGATGTACCTGGTATCTAATTACAATATTAATAATTGCTTAATTGAATCTTGATAATGGTGCAATCATGTAAGGTTAGGAAGAGATCTTAATTTGATATTTTTTCAAATTTCAGATATCATTATGCATAGTATCTCACCAACTTTAATAATAATCTTTGCCATCATCATCATTGCTTACAAGAAATGTGTAAATAGACGTTCTAGACATGAAGTCAAAAGCCAGTCCACAAGCCCCATAATCCCTTCTGTAACAGATTCACCCTCTTCAACTATTGAAGTCGAAGATGCAGGAGTGCAGGTGACCCCCACCCATCAAAATGAAGTGGAAGATGTGAGAGTGGAGGTCACACCATCACGTCCTATTTGTCCAAAAGGGAGGACACAGCCAAAGAGAATTGCCAAAGAAAAAAATGCAAAAAAGAAATTTGCCATTTAAATAATTAGCATTTTATTATTGCTTTTTAGCATTGTTGATTAGACTGAAGTAATTTGATTATGGATTTAAAAAAAAATTTCAGGGTAGAAATTTAGTACCTACTATTGTACTTGAAAGTCATACTTTATCTAAAGAGACAATCATTAATATTAATGACACATGGCAAAACGATTCTCCTCTTATATTTTTTTTTTTTTTGGTTCTGAGGTATTACATGTTTCTCTTTAGAAAACAATGAATGTCTGATTTTATTGATATGTAAAGATTTAGTTGTAAATTTCATAAAGTAATGTTTAAAGAAATTAGGAATGTCAGTCAATGCTATTTTAAAGCATAATTTCGTGTGTAAGTCGTTTTAAATTTATACGAGGGTCATTCAAAAAATACGTAGACAATGCTTCTCATCGTCATATGATTATTACAAGATTATAGATCAACACATTTTCGTAAACATAAACATTTATTTTGTCGAAGTGTGAAGTTTCATTCCATTTGATTAAACAGAACTCACGTTAGCCAAAATTAAAAGCAACATGTTTTGTTACCACGGAGCACGGTTAACCAATATTGTAACGTCAAAAACAACGCTGAGAAAGTTTGTCAAAAGTATACACATTTTTGTTATTTCAAACACAGTTTGTTGCGTCTTCTCCATTTAAAACACATATTCACGATACTTAACACCTGATTTGCTTACAATAATTGTAAAATATAGCTTGAATTAGAATGTTATTGTTTTCAAATTCTTTGATTTACCATGCAACTTTATTATTTCTACAACATTGAAGCACACATCACGTTCAATGACGTTCCTAACTCTTTTGACAATATTTTAAACTTTAACCTGTTTCTTTGCAGACAATCCATCGTCCGATTCAAACTCGCTACCACTCAAAAATTGTATTTTCAATTTAATACAAATACACAGATTATTTTTTATACAGATCCTGATTAATAAGGATTTTTTAAGCTTGTTGAAAAAGTTTCCCGAATGTAAAGTCTAATTTTATTGCTACTTGCTGCTCCGTGACGTCCTCCAACGTCATGGTTTTTTGCCTTTTTTAATCAAGTCCATATGTATTTAGAAGCTTATATCTTTTAAATGGAACGAGATATTACATAACCTGATTTCATTTTAATTAATACAGCAATACTTTATTTAAACATGTAAATTTTATTTTGTTTCAGATTCATTTATTAGAGGTATAGCTGTAAATACTATAAAGTGAAAATTAGAAAATCACTCAATTTTGACGGTGCTCCGTGACCCCATTTTTGCTGTTCTAAATCCTTGGTAATTTTAATAAATATGAGGATACATTCCATTTTTTTACTCAAATTATTTGAATCTGTTGTTAAAATATTTGTACCAAATTTGGATATAATATGACGTTGAATAAAAAAGTTAGGACAAAAGTCTACGAACTTTTTGAATGACCCTCGTATTTAAAGACAACCCAAAACTTTGATATGTCACTTTCCTAAAAAAAAAAACAAATTACAAAAAAAATTTGATGGGAAGAATTTCCCAACTCGCTCGCCCAGTCTCATCTTTTATTTGTACCTTAAACATAAAAAAATTGTAAACATAACAGTTCATGTATTTTCATTGTTCATACAATCAATGGTTGATAGGTTGTTTTTCTTTTGTTACAATTAGAACAATATTATACACGAAGGATTTTCAGATTTTAGACAGGGTGCTGATTTTTTGTATAACAATATTATACATGAAGAATTTTCAGGTATTTGACAGGGTGCTGAATTTTTTTATTTTTTCTTTTTGTGTGTGAATGTATACATTCCATGAATTTATACTTTCATTCCATTTTAAATGCTTACATCCTGTCTGTTGGTATGTTATTATTTTTTTCATGAGGGTACCCTTGTTTCTATTTTGTGCATGTTGTAGAGATACTGCCAAGGTTTTTCACATTCCTTGATTTTTTTTTCAAGTCAATTTTTATATGTTCATAATGTACAATTTCCATTTTTTGCTTGTTTTTTTTTAAATATTAAAAGTGCCAATGTTTAATTGATTTTTTAAAAATGATAACTACCAAGTTGTGTCAATGTTTTTTTATACATTTTTGTAGAGATACAACAAAAATTTGAAAAATATATACATTTGCTAAAGGCATTTTATTTTAGCAAAAGTACCAATTTCTGTTTAGTTTTTGTAGAGATGACTACCGAGTTGTGCCAATGTTATAAATATATATATATATATATATATATATATATATATATATATATATATATATATATTTATATATATATATATATTTGTAGAGCTACTACAAAGTTAAATAAAAAAATGGGGAAAAAAATGAATGTGTTATTTTGTTTGTTCATTGCATGCCTCTTTCTGAAAATCACTCATTAAAAAATTATGGGTCTTAGTTTTATATCACTGAATTTTCAATTCATAATTAATGAAAAATGATTGTTTGATATTTTACAGGTGAAGTTAGGAGTTGATAATGGAAAAAGTTAAGACTAGGGTTCGATTTAGTGAGGATGTTATATATATTATCTCATAAATGAATAATTAAAAATGTATATGTTATTGTATGATAAGATGATTTAATCATTCAAAAAGTTGAAATGCATATTGTGATAGAAGAGAATGTTTATTTACATATATTTATTATCTTTTCAGTTGACATATAGACGGATAACCAAGGCGTTAGCCAGTGTTATATTCACAGAACTATGTAAGTGATTGATTTTCAACAATTTGCACCACAGCGCTAGCTGTACGGTACAAATACACATAATGCTTAGAGTGCTTAAACTGTGGTAGCGTTAGCTATGATATTAAGGCGATAGCCATATTAGTTGTGGTAGCGTTAGCTACAAAGTTGATTATACACAAGGTCATAGTGCTAGCTATGAGATCACAGAATTGTGTAAGTGATTGATGTTCATCAATTTGGGTCACAGCATTAGCTGTACAAATAATGTTTCAATGGCTGAACTAGTTAGCATTAGCTATGAGATTGAGGCGTTAGCCATACCTGGTAGCGTTAGCTACAGTAGTTAATCATTCATACAAATTCATAGTGTTAACTATGAAAGTTGGCGTTAGTCAAAATTAAGATTTTTACAGTCACACTTAGAAATTGTAGATAATGATTCATGTTTAATTATATTATTAATTTCAGCTGAAGGAGAGAAGGATAGTAATTTTGTAATCATACCCAGGTGATATCTGTTTTTTTGTACCGGGAGATGTAAGTTGATTTCCAACAAAAAGAGGTATTTTTCATATAAATCACAGGGTTAACTGTGAAGAAAAAGTATTTCTATATTGGCATTGAGTAAAGTTTGTATTAAGCGATGACCATGGCTGGTGGCTTTATCAACTAAAGTTTGTTGGCTACAAAACTGTGATATAAGTAAAATCATTCACATAAATACATAGCACTAGCTATTATTATATCTGGCGTTAGTCAGTTTGTGTAATAGGACTCCTTGAAAAAAGTTTTTGGTGAGATATATACTCATAGCGTTAGCTGTGATATCAGTATCTGCCATCTTTTATGAAGGACATAACTGCGTTAGCAGATTTGACTGTCTGGAATATGTGTTTGTTTTCTTGTACAAATTTTTCACTTACATTACAGCCAAACATGTCCCAACCAAAGAAAAGACGACGACTGAATGAGGAAGAAGAGAAAGACAAAATAAAAAACCTAATGAAGGAAGTTCTGGCAGAGGCCCTTCCAGCCATCACAGAGACTGTTGCGGCAACTGTGAAAGAAACTCTGAGGGTAACTGCAAATAAAGATACCTCATCTCAGTCTAACCAGTCTAATACAGACAGCAATTTGGAGGGAATTTCCATGTCATCCACATCATCTGCAACATCGACTGGCACATCAGCTGCGACATCATCTGTAGCGTCATCTGCGACATCACCTGCACCATCACAAGAAACACTGCAATCATCGACTACTGAAGGTAATAAAAATAAGGGTACAGGGCCACTTCACATTGGTCGTCCTTTGGGTCAAGGGATCGATAGGAAAATTAAGGCTGAGGAGTTCAACCAGTTAGGATGTCTGGTGTTCAAACAACCATATGCCGAGTTGGAGGCGGTGCAGGCAAGTGACAATAGCGTCACATTTCTTCAAAAGGAACACAAATACTTCTTCAAATCCTTACAACAGTGGACAGGAGCATTCCACGTTTTTGTGGCAATTTACTGTGAGAAGTTCCCCGAACAGGCACCAAACCTCATGAAGTACATGGCTACAGTCCAGAAGCTAAGTTCTGTTGTCGGGGAGAGATCGGCATTCCACTATGACGAGCAATTCAGAAAATGGAGGGCAGAGATTCTAGACCAGATGCCGTGGGAGAAGATAAACTCTGAGCTACATTTCTGAAGCTTTGCAGATTGGTCTAAAATCAAAATTGTTTCAAACAGAGGGAAAAACCATTCGACCAAAACAAAACCAGCAGCAGCCATTTCGTGTCAAAAACAACAAAAAGCCATATTTTAGCTTCAACAACAATGCTGGACAGTGTGCAAGATCAAACTGCGAGTATGCTCACATATGCAGTAAATGTTTTGGAGATCACAACAAAAAAGACTGCCGGCTTCCAGACAACAACAAGAAACCTAATCACTCAAACACAAAGCCAGCAAATACCCAAACTCCATTCAAGAAGTAATGTTGTGACTCCTATTTGTGTAAAGACATTGGCAGTTTGGCTCCAAAATTTTAATCAGGAAAAAAGACAATACCTCATAGATGGTTTTACTAATGGTTTCAGAATTCCTTATCATGGAGACAGAAAATTTAGGTTTAGTGAAAATCTGAAATCTGCGAAGGAAAATATAGACATTCTGCAGCAAAAAATTGACGTAGATATTTACATTAGATAAATTGCCATTCAAAAATTTACAAGTTTCTCCCCTAGGATTAGTTCCTAAACAAACACCAGGTGAATATAGAATAATACATCACCTTTCTTACCCGGACGGCTCTTCAATAAATGATGGCATTGGTAAAGAAGATTCGGCAGTTTCCTATCAAACAGTAGATGACGCCATTAAACGTATTCAGCAATTTGGGAAAGGAGCTCTGTTAGCAAAAACTGACATTGAAAACGGTTACAAAAACATTCCAATTCACC